GATTTAGTGCTCAAGAAACATTTCTTCTTATCAATGTTGAAATATTTTTGTGGAAACTGATCATTTTTTCAGGATTCTTTGATGAATAGAAGGTTAAAAAAAGAACAGCATTTATTTCGAACAATCTTTTGTAAGATTATAAATGTCTTTACTATTACTGCTCAACTTTTTGCACCCTTGATCAACTAAATGCAGCTCATGAAAAGAATTTCTTTCTGTCAACCCCAAACATTTGAATGGCAGCGTAGGTTATGAAAAACGAAAGTAAATGTACTAAAAACTAAAATGTACTGTAAAATCAGGATTCTTTCAACTTACTTCAATTTTCGACAGACATGACCCAAATTGTTTAAGAGCGGCTCCCATTTGTCTACCGTCACCTAAAAAAAAAGAAATGATTCATTAAAAGAACGGAACACTTTACAAGGGTATGATTCCTACAATGTACCAAAAGTGATAAATACGGCCATTAAATATGCTATAGAGGACAGACATATTTTTTATTTTGACAACTGAATTTGAGTAACGATCAATACAAGGATCTGCTTGTCTATTGGAAATCTGTGTAAAAGAGGTATTTTCATTGTTTCATCAGTTGAACGATGCACCCAAGAACATAAAAGAGCATCATGACGTCTACTCTGACTAACGTCTGTTCTGACCAAAAACAAGCAGAAAAACAACTAGATGATAGAAGCGACAGGATGGTTACCTCATTTCCAATGGCCTTGATCTTATCCATAGCATCTAGAAACAACTTCTCGGCTGTTTTATAACTGCAACAAAGCAAAGCGTTCATCAGCAAAGCTTGTACAAAACCACTAACAACTGATGAATATAGTGTGAATGCTTTTGTAATCACTTACTCTCCATTTTGGAAGGCAACCACAGCTACCTCATGTATGACAAAGGGGTCCTCAGGCGCAATGCTGAGGGCCTGGCTAAAGAAACGTTCTGCCAGCTTGGGGTTGTTAGTGAGTCCATACTCCAAACCAATGTACAGCATGGGCAAGTGACATCTGCTCAAACAGGAAGTCAGAATGTTTTTTTTTTTGGCCTAAACTAGAGGCAAATATTTGTCTTGTCCTAATGAATTTAACTGTCACAAGCACTGCAGGTCTACAAACCCTTTCATGAGCTGGGCAGCAGTGAAGTACGCAGCCATGGCCTGATCGTGTTCGCTCTCCACAGCAAACGAGTGACCGTATGCTATCCATGCCGGTCCGTATGTGCGCTCCAGTGTGGTGGCTTTACTGTAGAAGGGGATTTCGATGTTAACCACGAGTTTCCTCAGCTACAAATCTACTGCTATCATTACGAAACCTTTTGCCAGATTTAGCACAGAAACATGTTTCACGAAAATGACCTCTATGGGAAATTGAGTTCTGCAGGGTCAGCACTAAAAAGTGGTTTTCCTTCTTAATATTTTAGAAAGTTTAAACAGCATTCATTTGAATTGTTAATTTTTTGTAACAATCTAAAAGTCTTTACTGTCACTTCAGGTCAAATTAATGCATCCTTGCTAAATAAAGTAACCATTTCTTTAAAAAAAAATCTTACTGACCACAAACATTTGAATGGAATTGTAAGTTTACATAATTAACTACAGTTGTACCTCAGATACCGCCTTGCGTGTTCGTTTTTATGCCCAACCATGAGGTAGTAACAACCAACAGCAAACCACGAAACCTTGAAAAGGTTCACAGAGAAAGAAATGATGAGAAAGCAATCACATAAAACTTAGCTGAAACTTGTGTTATGAAAGATAATCCTAACTCACTGGATTGCTGGGATACAAATCCACCAGTTTATGAGACAGGTAAAACAACTCTAAAGAGACAACGGATGATAAATGTTATGATTCCACATTAAAAGTCGACATTTAAATGAAAGCTGAAATCAATATTATAGTCTCATACCATTTGCTTTGCTCAGCTCAACAAGGGTTCCTATGTGCACTGGTAAACAGTTAGCATGAAACGGGTCTTTCACCATAACCCTAGATTTAAAAAAAATAAAATAAAATAAAAACATCAGAGGATTTCAAACTTTCCCTAAATGTCAAACCAAACATTAGAAACGGATGTCGGTTTTGCAGACTTACATTGACGTAAGAGAGTAGCACATTTTAAAGTCACAGTTGTAATAATGTCGCTCTGCGAGGGAGACGACAACATCCAAGTTGTCCTGGAGACCGTTGACTATTTCTGGGACGAACATCTCGCTAGGTTTGTTATACTGGAAAAGGAGAGTTGCTGATTAGCTCTTCAGTGAGCACTTCAAAACCATTGACTGAATAAACAGGTACTTCAAATTCTCATAGTAATTTGTGCACGTTCCTTTTTTAAACTGAAGAATAAACACAACAAAATCAGGAAAAATAATGAACAGCATCTGATCCACATGATGACGTGAATGTTCAATCAAAGCTTTTTCATATGTAAATCTTAGCAAACCATCTTTGGTACACAAATCTTTTACTTCTATTGTCCTAATTGAACCTTACTAAAGTTTCGATAGAAAAAAGGCCTTCTTACCTTCTTTAACTTATTTTCAAAAAGGAAATGCAGCAATTCCACTTCCTCTTCTGTACATTGTTGACTTAAGGGCAGAGAATCCAAGAAATCTTTCTCTACAACAAAATAACATTTTATGAATTTAAAAGCATTTATATACATACATAAATTTTTTTTTTGGTCCACTAATAATGTTAGTTAAGCTGTAAGCAACTTAATGTACAAAAACAGAGAATTTCAAAAACTGAATGAAAGTATGAAATGCTTCTCTCACCCTCTTGGGCGGTCAGCATGTGATGGGACGTCAAAAGGTCAAAGGCTTCAAAGCAGTAGACGTCCAGTTTCAAGGCCTCTTTGTAGCTAGACGTGGCTAGGGGTCTGTTGTCCATGGCATCATAGATCTTCCCCCGCAGGAGACAGATGGAACTATTGATCTGAGTGAAAAGGCCACAGGGAGTAAAAGATCCAGTCAAACTGTTTATTTCTAAAGACCAACTGGACTCATTCATTCAGGTATAGTGTAAATATCAAAAATAAAACATAATAAACACAATCAATGAACAAGAAAATGTTCCAGAAACCAGGGGAAAAAAACAATGCAGTTTTGATCCTAAAAAAAATAAATAAAAGAGTTAGGCTCACTGAGGCAGGAGACATTTCCCATTCCTTTACGGTTTCTCTTGACTTTACGGTTTCTCTTGAGCCATTATCCTCCTTTACATTCTTCTCCAATAATTTTTTACTGGCTGCTTCCTCCATGTCCAGTATGTCTAGAGCTTGTTGATATTCTTTGGCAGCATACTGCAGATTACAAAACAATTTAATAGTACAATCAATGATTATTTCCTTATATAGGTTTTCAGAAAAATTGGTCTGTCAGTCATAAAATTACACAAATGCTCCACCCATTTATTAAATATTTTGGCTAGTTTGATTACGTTTTCAGATACCAATACACTTATTTATTTACATTTACATAGTAAAAATCCATTTTACAAATCTTCCCACAAAAAAGGCAAAAAATATATATTGTATATATAATGCATTTATATGCAATATCACAATATTTTATTTTATATAATGCATAAAATAAAGCTTTCATGACATTAATGTAAATACTCACGTGACATCTTGCAGCTAGATACTGACAGGCTCCATACAACTGAGAAACAAAAACGAAGCTATAAATAACAAGCACTGTATACTAATTCATTAACTCCCTTGAACACGATGATTTCTTTACTTCATTCTACTGCACTAATGCACTTCCAACATTTCAGCATGGAAATACATTTGTGTCAATTAATTTATCGGGTTAGGTTTTTGAAGGACTGCAACTCAGAGACTTAAGAATATCTGTTACTACTGAAATGACTTTCATCAATCGATCAATCAATAGCTCTTACCTTGTCAAGTTTGCGAGATCTGAGCGCATGAGAAGCTCTGTGATACTGTGCTGTCAAATAAAGGCACTGTGCTAACCAATAAATGTCTTGAGGATCCTCTATAGGAGATTAAACAGTCTGGGATTAGTCCAGTATGCAATTAAGTGTCAAGTTAATTTAATTAACACACATAATATGAATTTTATCTACTGCTGTTTGACAGTATCCATACAGTGTTCAGGAGGATGAAGATACTTACCATGTGATAAGGATGCTACTTTGTCAGCCCAGAACAGAGCACTTTGATACTGTTGCTATAAAACAGATAATGCGATAATTGTAGAGAAAAACTTAATTTCATTTATATTGTCACTATGAAGATAAAACTTGATGTAGAAGATCATTTAGCCACATTGGTGCAGTCTGACGTGCACACGCCCTCATAGAGTTTATATTACCTATTTATTTCTGAGAATAAAATAGTCCAAAACAACATGATGCCATATCTATTAATAATCAATAATTATGTTATTTAAAAATAAATTAAGAAGCTTTTAAATCTGTTAGCATGAAAGTCAGCTGGCTAGCTTCAAAAATACACCCAGGTGTTCCGAGCTTAATGTACTAACTCTACCTTTTTCATTTTCTATAATATTCTGATTACGTAGTATCATATAAACAGCTTTATAAAATCAGAAATTAATAAAATCTTATTTGAGGTACAAATTAAAGCTACAGTCTTAATGCTAAATATACTGCCTCTTCTTACCTGATCAATGTAGTGTCTCACTCTTTTACGAAGCCTGTCAAGATTCATGGTGATTGTACTATTTGTCAAATACAAAAAACTGACATTCTTGTCAAATGCAATAGATTGAAAATGAGTTTTGTAAGACTGATCCTCTGTATGTAGATTGAAGCCCGCGGTTAGCATAAAACGTGTGTTACATTGATAACACTCCGTACAGAAACACGGATTTTGTGAAGTTCCGTCATTTTTTTAATTATCTGTATGGATTGGAAGTAACAACGAAAAATGCAACAAAAATGCAAATTTGAGTGAAAATACATTTTTTTTTACACACTTAGAATATTATAACATATATATGAACACACATAATAAAAATGCAGCCATACATAAACACACAACCTCTCAAACGTGAATTCTCTTTGGATTATAAACACATTGCCGGTCTCTTGTGGTACACAGTAAAATTGCATTGAAAGTTTCTTTCCGCCATTAAAGTAATAGTTCACCCAAAATAAAAATGGTCATCGTGTACTCACCTTCATGTTGTTCCTGATACTTTTTTTTTTGAGAATTGAGAATATCAGGCAGATGACAGCCTAACAACTCATGTTTCACAGAAGAAAGTCATACATAATCATACTAAAACTGTTTTAAATACATTAAATTAAGTGATATAATCAGCTATTTTACTGTGTTGGCCTGCTTCTGTTCACTAAAACAAAATATCAGCCCGTGAAATGGAACTTTCAGAAGAACTGAAGAATTACAAAAGCTTCAAAAGGTTATAATATTATTGGCAAAGGTTTAAGTCTCCCTATACACATTAAGTTCAGTTGAACAGAATGGATGAAAGAAACACTGGGCACAATCCAGGCCTAACTGAGCAAGAGAATAAAAGAGAGAAGATGTCATACAGGTGACCAAGAGGCCAGCTACACTACTGACCGCGATGCAGAGCATTTTGGCTGGCATCAATATTCTTAGCACTGCAGATTTGGCACTCTTCGACAAGAAGGAAACCACTTCTGAAAAAGATGAACATTACATCATGCCTGAATTTTGCTAGAAGCTTTTTTTATGTAAATAATTGTGGTCTCAGGACACTAAAATTAACCCAGTGTCCTGAATGTTTGGTGCAAACCAAATATAACTGCAGCCCTACCATCATGCTTCAGGGTTGCTTTTCAGTGATTTATGAAGGGAGATATTAATATTCTGTACTAATCATTTTGATTCAGAGGCATGTTCAATTTGTGATACTGATGGGAGAATGTTTCATAGTGAAAGCTTGCAAAGCCTCTTGTTGTCCAAGCATAGATGCCCTGTTAAAGAATAACAGGGTTGTTAGAGATTGAGAAGAACATAAAGGGCAATAATTTATTTCTTAACATAAATCTGCAAAAAAAAAAAAAGTAACACTGAACCGTGTTGTTACAAGTTCCGCAACAGGGCAGATGACATGTTTGACCTAAAATCACACAAGAACATGGTATGGAGGCATCTTGTTTTGACCACACCTTTCTTTCATATGTCTCATATTTCATATAATAAAACATTACTGAGAATACATTTCTCTCTGTACATACTGCTGCAGTAGATACAGTATTTTACAACTGTAACAATAGTGCTGGTGTTGTGAGCCGCATGCTCCCATGAACGTCTGGCTTAAAATGCGGACATGATCAGCATCACGTCCTGCATGAGATACACACCCAGACAGATGGGTACATAATCTAAAACGAAACTGGAGAGACTATTCCATAATTCAGACTGTGAGGAGTGGGTAGGCAATGAGGACTCGGCCCTATAGAGTGACACTGATTGCTATGGAGATGAGGTACTAGGTTCGAAGTTGTCCACCCAAAATCTCCAAGGGTTTCGGGCTAGAATTGAGTAGCCAGTGCAAATATAGCTGACCATGTGCATTTGATGGCTCTATAAGAAATCTTGAGTTTCGCACTCTTGTCCTTCCTGTGTGATGTGTGGAAGTCTGAGTCGTCTTTTCCATCCTGTTTTTCCTTTTGCAAAGCTTGTCGGTTTCAAGTGTTTCTCTTAGTTCTCTCTTATAATGCTTACAAGTCTTTATAAAAACTACAAAGTCAATGAGGCGACCAAGGCGTGAGTTCTCGCCCAGGGGCAGTGTTACTATACAGTTTTGCGTTTTGATCCCGTCACGATTGGCCGAGCGTATTCCACAAAGTCATCGATGAGAACAGGCCATGCTCCTAAAACAAAGCAAAACGTCACATTATTAAAATCCAACATACCCTATATGAGTAAATGCAGCCAATTTATGACTTAAAAGACCAATTGCTAAAAATTCAGTCAGATCAGAAAACTAAAAATTATTGATAATGCATGTCACCTTCTTCATCATAGTTTGACATGTCATCTGCAATCATGTTGCCGAAATCCAGGAGCAAGTTCCATGTGTCTTTGGGAATTGATCGCTTATGATGCTCCTGCACAAAATAAGGACAGAGACCAGAGAGCATCTAAATTAATTGCTAAAAGAAATTATTCCACTCTGTGGTTAAAACCCATTTTAATTTGTATTCAGAGCGAAACAGGATCAAAGGTCCAAAGCTGTAATGATGACTTACCAATAAAAATCTGTTCCAGAGGTCTAGGAACTTAAAACGTCCAACCAGAACCAGGTTCCAATATGCTACTGCCATCTCTAAATCTGAAATGGAAAAATACCATTAATACCGACAACTGTTTATTCAGTGTTAGAAACCAGAGTGAAAACTCACAGAAATGCAGAAAGAAAAGGTGCCCTTACCTAAACCTTTTTGTCCAGGATTCTTGGCAAAGTTGAAGGTGAACTGGTAGAAGTCTTTGAACTTTCCGCTGTCTTTCAGATCCTGCTCTAATCTGGGCAGAAGAGCTCGAAGCTTCTCCGGACTGTCACACCTGCAGATGAAATGAAACGTTTAGGCTCATCATTAATCTAATCACTGATTCTTCACACCATTCATACAAAACTCAAAGATGCTGTTAGCGATTCCAGCCTGACTTCTTCCATTTTTGCCAATTTTAACTATACAGCTTCTCTCAGCAAATCTAAAACGTGCAAAATAATTTCAGATACATCAAGCATTTCAGATTGGCTCATTTTTCTGTGGTGCTCAGAGCTGATGTGTGATTTCTCAAGACAACTTTTTTTCAGTGATTCTGTCAGGTAGTAGGCCATTTTGTGTGATATTCCCAAAGCACCTTTAAAGGGGTCATATGATGTTGCTAAAAAGAACATCATTTGGTGTAATGAAATGTGTTTATGCGGAGCACTTTTTAGCATGCATTAATACTCTCAGGCACAGGACAGCAGGCATAATACATATCCGAATTAGATTAAAACTCACCTTTATATCGATTGTAAAGCTGCTCCAGCTTTTTTCGGTCCACTGAGCTTTTCATGGATTCCTTGTGGTACAAATCTGGGTTCTGAAAGTAGTTGTCCGTGGCCACCTCTAGTTTCCAGTCATTTTGAGTGAGACAGTATACGGCGGTCTTCTCCCCGGCTTGAGTAAAGGACATGAACTGCCGTACCTTGTCCTTTTGGGAGGATTTTAGTTTATGCTGTGTGGACACAAAAGATATGCCCTCAGACATGAACTCAGACAGACGGAGGACTACACTCAGCAGTGTGTACAAACAGAAAGAGACACAAACGAACATACAGAGAGAGAAAATTGCACACATTCAGGCACAAGACTAAAGCTGACAACTGGAACAACCATAAACAAAGCGCTGACCAAACGTCCAGACCTATGTGGCAATTTAAAAGGACATTCTACCGGTTATAGCAAGTTCGACTGAAGCACGAAGCATGTGAGGACCTGTGACAGGCCACTTGCGCTTGGCATGTAATATGAGATGGCAAGCTCAGGGCAGCCAGTGCAAAACAACTGGGTTACCCTACAGTTATTTCCATCGATGCACAGTAAGCTGTTTTTACTCTAGTTCTTAAAACGAGTTCAAAAGAACCATTCTGACTGGGCCATCACAAGACACAGAACCAGAATACAATGTGCAAAAAGTTTGATAGCCCACTTAAGACATGTTTAGAGGGTATTACAATCTGGAAAATAACCAGGCTGCTATTGGGGGCTGGGTTGAAAGGGCAGGGCTAAAAGACTTACGTTTGACATTTCATAGCTGGGTATGGATGTAACCCTCCTGTTCTGCTGACATTATTGGCTGCCTGGTTGTTTGGGGTCCCAGAGGCCCCTATATTGTACGTGAAAAATCATTGTAAACATTTAAAAACATCAGTGATGTCATTGCATTTATCAATCAGGTTTTAAACTTGGGGTCTCAACGACACCACAACAGAAATAAGCTTTGTTTTTAAATGTAAAACTATTTAATCATAACATCGAGTTGAAAACTTTTTTATAATCAGATCTGTTGCATTTTGGAAAAGTCATGACGTTTAACCTGATTGTTCGATGTTAAGTAAGATTTTGGTGCGTTACAATAGGGCTTGGAGGGTCTCGAAAATCCAAAACAGAACATCAGGGTTAACAGCATGCATGCTTGGCTAAAGCACAGAATAATAATAATAATCCTCAAATGCATTATGCAGCACAGTGCATGATTCCAAGACAGATAGGCGGAAAGGTACATGCTGAACTCCCTAAATATCAACAACTGACCTTCCTGCCCATACAAAACATACACACAATTATGATCATTCTCGGTGCGACACGCGCAGACAACAACTCGTGCAAGACACTGAATATCTAAGTTTGCCAGAGCTTCTCCGTCGAACACGGAAGCAGAAACGTCAACAATATTTTTAATTTCTATGTCACCTACCATTTTATCACCCGCTGTTTGACCAAATTGATACCCAATGCTCCCATGTACAACTGCGCATGTGTGTAGGCATCAAGGGAATGCGCTAGACCACCAGCGAGGCTGCGCGTGGAAACGGTTACGTATTGGAAGTTGTAGTTCGTAAACGCGCTTTCTGTAGTTTAAAATCTCTCTCTCTACCAGAGATGAGTAGTAACAAATTAAAAGTAGTAAACTACATTTAACTACATTTTCTGTAGTTGTTCCTCTCTCTCGTACAAACTATCGTATGAATCCATTAATTCAGCTCAAATGAATAGAAAATCTGATTCATTTTAGAAAGTCGATTCGGTCAGACTGTTCATACCTGTTATGCATCTGTTCACAAAGGATTCATTGATTAATTTGAGATTCTGTCATATTTTTTATTAGAAATATTCAGTAGCGTATGAAAGCTAGTTTCTACCAGAGATGCTTTTGCCCCTCTAAATGGTAGTCTCGTTCATACTTTTTTAGTAAGTACTTTTTAAATAAAATTGTAAAAATGTATACCCTCAGGTTGTGGCACACGAGTGTTTTTGCTGTGAAATATTTAATGATTTTTATAAAGTAAACATAAAACTTACTTTACTGGACTAAAACATTTTAGGTTTATTATGAATGCATCGTTTTAGAAAAATCTCTTTCAAATGTAGCATGATACAGCAGGCTTTTGAGGAACATTTATTTGTACTTCTCTCAATCATCATTGTATTGCATTGAATATGTTTTATGTTGATTTTATGTTATCAATGGCATTGCATTATATGTTTTTGTACAGTGACGATTGATCGATTGAAACTCATCGATTTACACAAGCTCTGAATTTCATCTTACTTTTTGGCCATATTACTACTATTTGGCCCTCAGAATAAAATGTTAAAATTAAAATAAATTAAAATAGCCTAAATTAAAATAAAATAAAATAAGTTTTTTTCTTCCTCAAGTGTGAACTCCATATAATATATAGGTCATAAAAGCATTGGTTTTTTTTGCAAACAAAAGGCATTTGCAAACTATAATACATTCAGTACATACATACACACACACACACACACACAAAGGTGATTTAAGTGACTTTCAATTTGGTCTGAAAAATGGTCTGAAAAAGCGAAAATATCCAGTGAGCAGCAGTTCTGTGGGCGAAAATGCCAGAGGTCAGAGGATAATGACAAAAGTGGTTTCAGCAAAAGGTTGCCTGGTCTGATGGGTCTCAATTTCTGCCTGGACATTCAGGTGGTAGGGTCAGAATTTGGTGTAAACAACATGAAAGCATGAATCCATCCTGCACAATATCAATGGTTCAGTCTGCTGGTGCGGATGTAATAGGGTGGGGGATATTTTCTTGGCACACTTAGGCCCCTTAGTATCAATTGAGCATCGTTTAAATGCCACAGACTACCTGAGTATTGCTGCTGACCATGTCCATCTCTTTATGACCACAGTGTACTCATACTTCCAGTTTGTGACATGTTACAAAGCTCATCTCAAACTGGTTTCTTGAACATGACAATGAGTTCACTATACTCAAACGGCCTCTATAATCACCAGACCAAATCTGCAGCAACTGATGCTGTCATGTACTGTAAGTATAGACCAAAATCTCTGAGGAATATTTCCAACACCTTGTTGAATCTATGCTATGAAGAATTACAGCAGTTCTGAAGACAAAAGATGGTCCAACCCGGTACTAGCAAGGTGTACCTATAAAGTGGTTAAACAAAGTATCCTGGGGGATATTTATTTATTTATTTATTTATTATTATTATTAATGTTATGTTACTACTATCATCTCTCTGTACATATATTATAGCATATTTTATATATCGAAACATATTTTGAGCATGTTCAGCTGACCAGTGCTGAATGTTTAGTGTGAACAACACCGAATGGACTGATTTTAAAACATGTTTCACATATCTATAATAGCCTGCCTATAAAAGGTCTGTGCATCTTTCATGCATGATATAACTCAAGTTTCTGCTCAAAGTGTTTCTCTTGTAATAAATAAACACAGACACAGCATGTGTTGCAAGAGCAAGACCTTCTCTGATTTATGTCATGTGTGGTTATTTGTAAACACAAGCAGTGTTTACAGTCAGGCACATGAACTTTTTCAATAAAGGGTGTTGTAATAAATGTTGAATTGTTTAATTTGTCTCTTTTATTGATGCATTTAGATTTTTTTCTGTATATATTTGTTTCTGAATAATGTTCTTGTTTAATTACTATACCTAATCATATTTATGTTATATTCTATTTTCCAAAAGGTGAAACATCCATCTTCATAGATGTACAGTATTTAACCCAGATAACTTCTTCAAATATGTCCACCCAGAGATGTGAAAATGATAGGGACACGATAATGGTTACACCCTTTTTTTAACTACTCTTTAGTTATCTGCATAAAACATACCGTACAGTGTGTTCTGTAAGGGGCAGCATGAATACAGATAAAAAAGTTCCAGAGCCTGACACCAAACATCAACCTAATGACATAGTTTAATTACAGAAATTTTCATTTATTAGTTAGATGATTCATACTTTCTAAATCTTGACCTTTGTTTGCTTCCAAACGTGCATTTTAGAATAACTCTAATAATTAAGGTGTAAAGTATTTGAAGAATAATACTTCACTACTTAAGTATTATTTTGGAGAATTTGTAACTAAGACCGTTAAAACAGAATGCTTGCATGTTTACATTTACATTTACAAAAAAAAAAAAAAAAAATT